AGGCGGCTAATGTTCAGCGTGATGACATTTAGTAGTCTCATTCAGACACTTGTTAGCTGTCACATAGAAGCTTTGGACATGGCTCATTTCCATTTTGAAGGACTCATTCCTGCACCACTCTATAATGTGCCAACAAAGATTGCTAGCCAATGTAATGAAATGTGTTCTGACGAGAGACATTGTGTGTTACACCCCAAGGACACACACTTGAATTGAGATGAGGAACAGTGACAGAACACTTCCACAGGGTACCTTTTCACTTTGGAATAGGAGGAGCTTTATTGTGATGCATGGGAAAAGAATGGAAAACATTGACTTCCTTAGGGGTTGGGGAAAACATATTCTGAAACCTTTAACCTAAAATACATGACTGGTTCAGTCCCATGTGATTTGTACTAAGTGAGCCTTAACATTGGTATGGTCCTGTAAAATTATTATTTAAGAGACAACAGCTTGGATTTAATTTTCGTAGCTCTGCTCGTCAGAAACATCTCTTACTACAACAGTTATATATTGGAACATTCTTCCTGTAAGTGAGATGATTGTCACGGTTTGGCCCAAAGCTAACTCATCCTGCGACTGACAGAAGCCTTAATCAGCAATGAGGTGCAGCGGGGGGGGGTGCTCTCTGATCAGCTTGGACTGTGTGCTTACCTTGTCTCTTCCATCCCTTTGTTCCCTGCGTGTTCATGATGTTTTATATTGATTCACTCAATTAAATTAACAAGAAATCTCTGGGTTGGCTTTGGCTCTTCACTCTTTAACCTGTCGCCTCTCTCCTCCTCAGCATGTGTGTTTCTCCTCAGCAGTGTGGATGGGGGGGGGGGTACTGTCAGTGGTTCTAATGCTCCGCTCTGACTCCAGCAGGTGGCCAACAGGACTGAGGAAGTCTGCTCTGACACCAAGAGTGCTGTTTGAACTGCAGTCAACAGTGTCTGTGCTTCCCCTGTGGCAGCATGCCAGATAATAACATGGCTCTGTCCCATCATTTACTCTTCCTGGTGTAAGTTAGGTAAAGACTCCTAACAGAGAGGTCTCTCCTAAGTAATCTGCTGGGAGGCGTGCAGGGTCAAACAGGCGCCTACATAACATTCAATGATCTGCTCCTTATTTCTTTTCAATAACAGTTTACAAAATCACCCAAAAATGCCCAACACAAGTATGCATTTAAATGTGTTTTTGGCCGAACAACAGTCCAAAACAGCACATTTAAGGGACAGTAACTAGACAGGGTTTTGCATATGGAAACTGTTGGCATAAATAATTCATAGATGATAACAAAGCAGCATTAAAGATAATATTTGTACAGCAAGTCTATTTAAAGATGTGACTGCATTCCTCACCCATCAACCCGTGTGGTTTATTCTTTTAAAGCCAGTGATCACTTCTTTGACATCAGATTCCAGATGGATGCATGAGAAGCAGAGATATGAGAGTGTTGTGTTGGTAGCAGCTGAGTCCTGCTGCAAGTGAGGCAATCATTTCTTACTACATCACTCCACATTGTCCTTAGCAAGTCAAACAACCAACCAACACTGGCTCAAGGGAAACCACTAGAGAGGTTTGTACCACTGATAACAACTGATACTGTTTAAAGCATGCTTCTGGGTAATAAAAAAACAACAAACTAATCTGAAATTCTCAATTCATACACAAAGCTTTAGAAGTGCACAATATGGCTAGAACTTTAAGAAACATGATCTTCCTCCTCTTCAGTGTGCTGCTGTGTGTAACACTTGTTTCTAAATCCTGTAACATGTTCTTTAAACTGATCTCATACCTGTCAGCCATGTCACATAATGCGTCAATTGACTTTCTCCTATTGCTGCAGTCATCAAGAACATCGGCCATGTTTTGAAGGAAACCTGGTTTGTTACAGCTTTGGTTATCACGTTTTGAAGTTAGTTTCTTTTGGCTACATTGTACACACCAAAGTCCTGCTTAGACATACCAATAGTGCCAGATCACTCACAGTCTGACTGGTGAAGAAACTCAAGCTAATTAGCAAGTTCTCCAGTATTCTCATATTTGAAAGAGAAAATAAAAGTAGTAAAATGTTTGGGATTCTTAGTGATCCCCAAAAAAAGGCTGCTCTTCTGTTTTGCTTAAATCTAGCATTAATGGTTGCTCTTGGGTGTTATTGTTCTTTTGGGCTCTGAGATTCTTATTTGAGACATCCAGTTTATTTGATTATACAAAATAGTTCTAAACAAAGACCTTTTTAAATACCAATAAGACACATAACGTTAGTGACTGTTCACAAGTCGATGGGGATTATTGACATGTCAGTGTTTATGTTTTACACGTTTTCTGATTCAAGTTTTTCCTTTTAAGTGTGTGGGTTTTATCCAGTGTGTGAACTACTGAGTGTGTTTGAATTCATTAATTTAATAAGCCATTTAATGGCTATAAGCACAATTTGAATGGTCGTGTGAAAATTGAAGCAAAAGATATTTAAGATGATTTTACGTTGGGGGAGAATAAATCAGTGGATGAATGTGAAAACAATAAATAATTGTGTTCAAAATCATTTCATATTTTTATTCTGTAAGACTTTGATATGAACACGTGTGAAGTAAAAAGGATCACTAGGGTTTCAGTATTTAGAAAGAATATATATCATTTTTGAAGGATACAATTGTTCAACTGCATCACAACTAAAGAAACCAGCTGTTTTCTAAAGTAAAACACTAAACAAATGACACCTTTGCTCACAACAGCATTTTCAAATCGTATTATAAACGCTCTTTCCAGTGAACTACATTTTTTTTATTTTTCCCACAAACAGATCTTGGACATTTTTAAACGACCTGTTGGGGTCATTATAGTGAAATGGCTGCCTCTGTTTTTATGATAGTGAATAACATGTATTTTTCGGCCAAAAATAGTATGGTTTGTAATAGAACTTTTCAAATGTAATGTTAAGTGCAGTAAGATACCAAGTCCTATTTACTATGACCCCTTCATGGGGTCCTCAGCTGCCACATGTTTCTGGTGACATTGGACTTTGGAAACAGTACAATTGAAACATAAAAATATCCATAGCTTAAACATTCTCCAATTATTATCTCAAGCCCGACTCATACTTCTGCATCACCATAGGCACTTCCTGTATGCACACTCCACCCGATCACTGTAATATCAATGCTGCTACTAATGGAAGTGTGGCACATTCTCAGATAGTGAAAACATAGTGAATGACTTCAGACAACATCCACTGGCACACACACTATCAAAGCATGGCTGAGGGTTGAATCACTACAATAATGCTGCATCTTTTTATGTGTTCACGTTGTCCTGTTCAGAGACCCACACACATTCATTAACAGTTTTACACAGTGTTTATACGATTTATGTCCAAAACTTAGTGGAATCATTCATATCTGTTTTCAGAAAAATGCTATTTATTACACAAAATCAACTGACCATTTAATCAAGCCATTCCTCACAAGTCTGCTGGTTAGGGGAGTGAGTCAGGGGGGTCTCCTGATGCCCTGTACAGAGGCCCAGGACCCCCTCTAATGGCGCATTTCCATTGCAGGGCCTCGCTCAGCTTAGTACGGTATAGTTAGGCCTTGTTAGGCCAGGCTCACTTTATGCTGCGTTTCCATTACTGTTTAGTAGCTGGGGCAGTAACTATAGTAACGCAGTGTAGGCGTAGCCGTGACGTCATCTTCAATGCGAAACACAAAACCCACATCAGCCGTTAGCTGTTAGCCCTCAGAGCTCACAGCTCCTCATATCTGTTCAGAAACTAGACCAAAGTTAAATAAGTACAAACCACAGACTGCCTGTGTCATGGTGAATACAGTCGCTGGTTTATGTATGTCTGTATAGGCCGTTGTTGTGAGTGTGGACGGTCGGAGCATATACTGCGTTAGCTTAGCCAATCTCCATTTAGAAAACACGCATTTTAAAAGGTTTTTCGCCTGCCGTCTTGTCTGCAGACTTGTCAAAGCATTAATTCATGGTTTTTACTAACCGGTATCAGTATGTTGTTACTTCGGCATCATTTTGAAACGTGTATTACAATGAAATCACGGTCAAATATGTTCATCTTGTTGTAGTTGTAGCCCCCTTGCCAGCGATTCTCTCTCTAGTTTAGCATACTCAGCCCGACTCAGCCTGGTTGTTGGCCCGGAAAGAACCTCGATTTTATGGGGCCAGAAAAACGGTGAAATAGTACCCGCTAGCCAGTACTACGCCAAGTGGAAACGCAACCAAAAACGGCACGCTTAAACCGCGCTGTAGTGGAAATGCGCCATAAGAATGCAAGAAGAGACAGATCTGCTTTTGTCTTACATCAATCTGCCTTGTTAACACATCTTTGTAATGGTTATAAGTCAATAAATATTAAACCAGTGTCATTAGACAGCTTTTCAGGAGTTAAGTTTACAGTGTGCTTCCAGCCACTTCCTGTCTCAACATGCAATCTGGAGATATTGTATGTGACCCTGATCCAGGACTGTCAAGCTGCAGCGCCATCTCCTGGGAGTCTTTCTCCAGTTTATTTTCTTCTGTTTTGTGCTGCTGAGTGGATGAAATGAGCGTTTTAGAACATAGCAGTGCAGAGCAAGTCCTGGACCAGAACCACAGGATTCACATAACATCCACCTTGTGAGGAAGAATGTTGGGCTTGAACGGCACAGATCTGAAATATTCATGCTCCTTTGTGAAATCCTAGAGGAGCTGCTAACCTTAAAAAAAACATGATGAAAACAATATGTTCTCAATAAAACACTTTCCCCGACACAGCCTACCTAACATTCACACTATGGGCTCAAGTTTTCCAGAAGGAGCAGCTATGAGTTGTGAAGGAGTATCAAAAAGTCCCAGCTGTGTGTGTGTGTGTGTGTGTGTGTGTGTGTGTGTGTGTGTGTGTGTGTGTGTGTGTGTGTGTGTGTGTGTGTGTGTGTGTGTGTGTGTGTGTGTGTGTGTGTGTGTGTGTGTGTGTGTGTGTGTGTGTGTGTGTGTGTGTGTGTGTGTGTGTGTGTGTGTGTGTGTGTTAGATGGGCTACGAGTCTTTGAGCGTGCTGATCTGGGCGTAGATCTTCAGTGCGGGCCCCAGCTTGATGTTCATGGTGGCCATGAGGTGGTCCTCCTTCAGCAGCAGCAGGGCCTGCCCATCGATCTCCTGAGAGCGGAACTCCTCAGCCACCTGCAGACAGTCTGAACACACACAGTCAGAACACAGTCAGAACACACAGTCTGCACACACACAGTCAGAACACACAGTCTGAACACACAGTCAGAACACACAGTCTGAACACACAGTCTGAACACACAGTCAGAACACAGTCTGAACACACAGTCTGAAAACACAGTCAGAACACACAGTCTGCACACACACAGTCAGAACACAGTCAGAACACACAGTCTGCACACACACAGTCAGAACACAGTCAGAACACACAGTCTGCACACACACAGTCAGAACACACAGTCTGCACACACACAGTCAGAACACAGTCAGAACACACACAGTCAGAACACAGTCAGAACACACAGTCTGAACACACAGTCTGAACACACAGTCTGCTCACACAGTCAGCACACACACAGTCTGAACACACAGTCTGAACACACAGTCAGCACACACACAGTCTGAACACACAGTCAGCACACACACAGTCTGAACACAGTCTGCTCACACACAGTCTGAACACACAGTCTGCTCACACACAGTCTGAACACACAGTCTGCTCACACACAGTCAGCACACACACAGTCTGAACACACAGTCAGCACACACACAGTCTGAACACACAGTCTGCTCACACACAGTCAGCACACACACAGTCAGCACACACACAGTCAGCACACACACAGTCTGAACACACAGTCAGCACACACACAGTCTGAACACACAGTCTGAACACACAGTCAGCACACACACAGTCTGAACACACAGTCTGCACACACACAGTCTGAACACACAGTCAGCACACACAGTCTGAACACACAGTCAGCACACACAGTCTGAACACACAGTCAGCACACACACAGTCTGAACACACAGTCTGAACACACAGTCTGAACACACAGTCTGCACACACAGTCTGAACACACAGTCAGCACACACAGTCTGAACACACAGTCAGCACACACAGTCTGAACACAGTCAGCACACACAGTCTGAACACACAGTCAGCACACACACAGTCTGAACACACAGTCTGAACACACAGTCTGAACACACAGTCTGCACACACACAGTCTGAACACACAGTCTGAACACACAGTCTGAACACACAGTCAGCACACACAGTCTGCACACACACAGTCTGAACACACAGTCTGAACACACAGTCTGAACACACAGTCTGAACACACAGTCTGAACACACAGTCTGCTCACACACAGTCTGCTCACACACAGTCTGAACACACACAGTCTGAACACACAGTCTGCTCACACACAGTCTGAACACACAGTCTGCTCACACACAGTCTGCTCACACACAGTCTGCTCACACACAGTCTGAACACACACAGTCTGAACACACAGTCAGCACACACAGTCTGAACACACAGTCTGAACACACAGTCTGAACACACAGTCTGAACACACAGTCTGCTCACACACAGTCTGAACACACACAGTCTGAACACACAGTCTGCTCACACACAGTCTGAACACACAGTCTGCTCACACACAGTCTGAACACACAGTCTGCTCACACACAGTCTGAACACACAGTCTGAACACACAGTCTGCTCACACACAGTCTGAACACACAGTCTGCTCACACACAGTCTGAACACACAGTCTGCTCACACACAGTCTGAACACACAGTCTGCTCACACACAGTCTGAACACACCGTCATGGTGTGTAAAGCCCCAGAAGGCCACACAAGCACAATTTATAACAGAACCTTAAACGGATAAAATCCAGAGTAAGATAACAAAAAACAATGACAATTTTATTTCTGAAATTTGAATTGAGTGAATAGATCAATCCTTCCCATATAAATTGATCATAATCATTTTCAGATGTTGAGAATGCTCTAAGTGACATCACTACAGTATGTAACACTCACGTTTCTATTGGCTAGCGCTCTAACACATTGTACGTGATAGGCTAAGGGGCAGGACATCTCTAAGCGGTTGGCCAATCACAACAGACCCGGCCAGCTAACCAATCAGAGCGCTCTGGTTTCAGACAGAGGGTGAAAAGAGGTGCTGCAGCACAGGCAGTATGAGGAAAATAAAGAGCTTTTTGAACATGAAAGCATGGAGACATGTCCCAGTAGAGACACTACATACTGATAGGAACCTGAAGAAGAAGAATATGTCCTTGTTAGAAATTGCCCACTGCTGTGATGAAAAAATAATGAAAATACTGAGTGAATTCCTTTATATTAGAATCGTTAGGTTTGTCCCTGCCCTCTCAACTCTCTTTTTAACAGTTGTTGCACATATAACTCTGTTAGTCTGTTTGCAAAATAGTTATATCTGTAAAACAGTGACCAGCTGGTTTAAGTAAATTCTAAAAATGATAAAAAATGAAAATGTTTGAGTTGATTTTACGCAGAAGTCAGAGTACTGAAAGACAATCGTTGTTAGTTAAAGTCTGGACATGGGAAATGTTGACAATAACTCAAACTAATGCTAATAATAGAACACATTGCCAGACTAAGCTTTTAATCTGACAGCCTCGTTAAAGTCATTTGTGCACACAATCTAGTTTAGTTTAACACGACACTCTCACAAATGAATGAAATGAAACTCTGCTGATGGAAATAGAATCCATATGTAAAGTATTCCTAATGAGACACAGTCCAACAGATCAGTAAGAGCAGAGGCAGCCCCACCTGGCAGAGAGGACATGAACTCGTACACCTCGTCTATGTTCCACTGGCCGGGGTCAGAGGGCAGGAAGCAGAAGGGCTGCGTGGCTGACGGGGGGGACGGGGGTCTCTTGTACCCAGGCAGGTCTGAGCATTGGCTGGACTGTCCCTGAGCAGGGTGGAGCGACTGGCCGGTGGAGGGAGAGGCAGCAGCAGCAGGCTTCTGCACAGATGGGGAACACATCTGTCAAACACTGAGAGAACTCTGCCTCTGACAGGAGGAGAGCTGCACGTCACATTCAGAAGACTTCAATGAACTGCACAAAACAACATCATTTATTAGTAATACAAAGTCAAAGTGTTGCCTCACCTTCTTCTTGGGCTCCAGGCTGCAGTGATTCAGCTCTCCGCTCAGCGCTCTCTGCTTCTTCATGTTCTCCAGGGTGGCTTTCCGGTTTGGGAAGAGACCCACTCTCTTTGTGCATCCCACATTGTAGCTGCAAACAAAGTGAACATTAGAGTTATTATCAGCATGTTAATCATTGTATATTTTCACAATTGTTTCTCCAGAAGGTTAGGGTTGGGTATCGTTTGGATATCCGATTTCGGCTCTGCTTATCGATTTAGGTTATCATTGATTCTAGATTTGAGTTTTTTGAGGAGGTACAAATAAGTTAACAATAACACTTGTTTATCAAAGCCTACAATAATAATTGTTTTTGCAATCACAAGCAATCAGCTGAGCAGCATAAGAACCTGCAGTCCTTTCGGACCGTTCTCCTGTCCTCACAAGTCTTACAAATTCTGCCATAGGGTCGAGACAAGACAAAAACTAATTGTATCGCTATGCCGACAGCCTGTCCAAAGAGAGCACCGGTGCTAAGAAACCGATAAGCTGAAAATAAATTCAACTTTCTGCGTTAGGTACCGGGCAATTGGATTTTTGGACCCAATCCCTGATAGACCAATACAAATATTATTTACCTATTAGGAATTAATTTATACTGACTATGCAACAATAACACTGCAACGTGCATTACACACACTTTTCAATTTATTCGTTTCATTACACGCAACTACTTAAATGCGACAGACTTTTACACTACTGTTGAGTGATAACTGTGCTATGTGCTATATACGTTTTACACTTTATTAACCTCATCACTTCTATATGTTCCCTTATTCATTTTTTATATTATTTTATCAACAGATTCAGATTCATTATTGACCAAAAAGTCATGTGCATCTTAAAGTGTAAAAGTGACAGTCATACAAGTGCTAGGAAATAGTTTTTCTACTGGCATATAATCCATCAAATATCACGAAAGACCATGATACTCAGGAGTATTACATCTAAATAAATGAATATACTTTATAATCATGTGATGGTGTTGGTTGCAGAATGTCCTGAGCAGCATCCTTGAGGCTTGAAAAGCAGGCTTAGGGTTCAAATGAGGAGGTGAGCTCCATCACTAACTGTTCTCCCTCCTGTCTCTATCTCATCAGCAAGCATCAATGTACAAAACATTCAGGAAGTAGCTTCTCTGTTTATCTGATGCTGGTTTTAAAGGAGATGTCATTTTATTTACAAAATAACTCAATTCAAGTGGAGAAACTTTGGATTCATGCGGGCTGAAAAGTACCAGATAAAGAAAAGAAAATAGAACAACAGGAGGTGATGAGAGACAGAGAGCTTGACAACAGAGTCTGGCAAAATAAAAATAAAAGACGGACAGGAAGTCAACACTAAAGGGATGACGGTATGAGCTCATACAGTGAGGCAGTGTTTACAGACTGGTTCATGGAAAACAAAATGGCTGAAAACCACCATCTGCTCTGCGGTCATTTGATGCATGTCTTCAAAATCCACAAGCTGAAGAGATTTTTTTCTCGTTTGTTCTACGACATAAAATACATCAGTAAATACTCCACTGGTGAATGACGCCTCTGTCATAGAAACTGCGTTGTTAACAAGTGACTAAATGAGACTAAATGTCAACATGACGAACATTAGCCGCGTTTAGCTTAGCGCTGGCCGTAATGTTCGTTGATAGCGTCACGTTAGCTTTTCACTTTTGGTGATTGCATGTACGCAAATAAAAAGTCATTAAAGCTGTTTTAATATGTGGAGATTATCCTGCTGAACAAAACGTGTAAGTATTATAAATGGGTGTTATATGAATATTCCAAAATCCAATGGGAAAATCCCATTGCCTACATCTCGTTCTCTACGTTCTCTTGACAGTGACTGTTTGACTCGTTATTTGATTTAACTCAAACTTTTCTAGGGTTTGATCTCTGGTAGTAGCTTCTACCAAAGATCAAAGAAGAAATATGTTTTTAATGTCATATTACAGTGTGGTTGTGCAATGAAAAACCTGGTTCACAGGTTCCTCAAAATGTAAGACATAAAACACATTTAAAAAAAAACACAATAATAGTAGTGCACGCTCAGGAGTTCAGCATGGTGTACTTTTTTACTTATTTTGTTAATATTATTAATAACGCGTGCCTACTTTTTTATAACTTAATCTGCACTCTGTTGTAATACCGTAACTTTCCCCGTTATGGGACCAATAAAGGAATTCTGATTCGGATCAGTTTAAACGCAGATAGATTCTCACCCAGTGGAAATAAAGAAAAGCTAGAAGCCAGGAGCATCTTCCCTGCTGGGCCTTACCGTTTGGCGCACACATTGGAACAGAACCTCTTGGACCTTTTGAAGACGTAGGAGAAATCCACCCTGCCACACAGCTCACAGGTCAGCATGGGCTCCTGCTGGGCCTTCAGCTCTGAGGGGAGACACACACCGTCAACCACAACATCCACAGGAACACTGATGATGCAGAATGAGCCTGGATTATTTGATATTCAAAGCTATTTTAAGAACAAGTGCTAAAAGCCAGACTTGTGAAATTGAAGCTTATTGACAGCTAAAGGTGAAGCCCTCACATGAATTCATTGTGTGAGAGATATGTCTCACTTCCTTAGATTTATAACAAAATGAATGTGGATGTCAATATGATTTTTAGAAGAGGAATTTCTTTTGAGAAACAATGATGTGTTGCAATTATCACAATATAAATCATACATTTATCATCCTCTCTGTCCTCAGTAGAATGTATGAAACACTTCAGCATGTTGCTATTGCTCTGAGAACTTTAAAACGTTACCCTTTGGTGAGAGGAGGTCCATCTTTGAGTCTGCAGTGTGTCTCCTCAGGCTCTCCAATGAGAAAGAGGGACGCTCCACCTGCAGACAGGACATTAAACATGCCATTACTGTCGCTGAAAAAGCCTGAAATGAATCCCAGGAAACTACAAGAACACATATACAATTATGGACAGTTTCAATGTTTTTTTGTTATATTTGATATCTGACAGGGAGAGCTCAGTGGTTAGAGCTCACCATATGCAGTGTCCACTGACAAGTAAGCAGGTTCAAATCCTGAACCAGCCAAACATTTCAGGCAAAGTCATCTCCTCTATCTCCCACTTACAACTTACAACTTTCCCTCTGTAATAAAGGCACTGTCTGGCACAAAAGAACCTTTCAAAAATATTTTCTCAGAAAGATAAATAAGAATTTTTGATAGATGACAGTAAACATAAAAAGAAAGGGTTGGGGACAAAATGGTTGACATGACTGCAACTTGTAAGGGAGATCAAGAAAAGGGTATTACATGTATTGCGATGTTTAATGATGTTAAAAACAAAAGTCGTTAGGTGTCCTGACTAAACGTCATGGTTCATGGAAACTAAAACAGGAAACTGTCCCTAGTTTCTACATGTAATAACACTGCACTGCACTCACCAGAAAGCTTAGAACAAATCACCATCAGTGAACAGTCGATATGGCCAGTGTATGTAGGAGCAGTCCACTCCCATGTTCCTTATGGGCCATATTCTGTGTGTGTTTTAGGGCTCTGGAGCGGTACTCACAGGGAATGGCTCGGCCCCCTCCTGGATGACGAAGCCCTCTATCAGGTGGGTGAGGATGTGGCACCTCATGAGGGCCTGGGCTGCTCTGCTCTCTCCTTTGTCTCGGCTGCTGTTGCTGTTAGTGTTTCCATTCCCAGAGGTCATGACTGGAGCGCAGCCTCTGACCTGTGAACACAAGTAGCATGGAAGCTCAGCCTGGGACCTGGAGCCTCGCATCAATGCACAATCCATGCAACTCATACAAACGTGGCACTGTAATGTGTGTGCAAAATAACGCATTATTAGTATTATTTATTAAGAGTTCTCCTTAATAACGAATTCCGAATTGAGCAGATATAATGCAGCCTTTTTTTTTTTAAATAAAAATGTCCTATTGTTTATTTGTTTACTATGTGGGGATGTAGAGAGTGGCTCACAATGTGCCACTCAGATCTTTACCTTGGTGTTAAAATACTCCACTACAAGAGCATTTTGGGTTATAGTTGGTCAATTTGGATCAAATGAAGATACTAGAAATGCTGTGTAGATTAGTAACACAGTACTGCATTATACCATATCAGCATATATGTGTTATTATGTTTACAATCTTACTGTGAGTGCTAAATACATTTATTGGAATAAAAAGTACAATATTCACCTGTAGTGGAGTATAAGTAGCATTAAATGGAAGTACATAAGTAAAGTACAAATAAGTCAAAAAAGGACTTAAGTACAATACTTGAGTACATGTACTTAGTTACTTTCCATCACTGGTTTTGAGTAGTATGTTATGACTTCTTGCAATAACCATAAATTGGCAGATCTCAGATTGAAGTCTGGCGGACAGTCTACCCACAGTGACTGCACTATTTTTTAAAACTTTTAAGTCAAAGTACTGCATTCGAGTAGAATTAAAAAAAAAAAAAGTATTAGAATCCAAATATAGTTAAAGTACCAAAGTAAAAGTATCCATTATGCAAAATGGCACATTTAAGCACAATATATATTTTTTAAGTATTGTATTATAATTATTGATGCAATAATCCCTTAATCACTTCAATGTTGCACTTTGTAAAGGTGGGGTTAATTTGAATTACTTTGTATATTACTTGGTAGCTTAAACTATAATAGTATATCAATATGTATTAAGTGTTTAAATTGTGCATTTATAATCAAAATGTGCAAAATTGTTAGTTACTAAATCTTTAAAATAAATGTAGTTGAGTATAAAGTGTAACATTTGCCTATGTAGTGGAGTAAAAGTAGGGTAAAGCCCTCAAGGAAAGTACAAGTACAATAAAATTGTACTTACGTACAATACTTGAGTAAATGTACTTAGTTACATTCCACCACTGTTTACTACCTGCTATACACATTATCTGGAATAAAATAAATAGCGCTATTTCTTATCAGGTTGTCTGGCAGTGAGTTATAATTGAGTTATTAAGACCAGGTAAACACAAAGCTTTTCCCGGTTTAAAACATTCCATTTGAATGTATATGGGATTAAGTTAGGGTTATGCACACCAGAGGTGGGAGAAGTACTCAGATCTTGTACTTGAGTAAAAGTAGAAGTACCAGAGTACACGTAGGAATAAGTAAAAGTCCTGCAATGCAAAGGTTACTCGAGTAAAAGTAACAAAGTATTATCATCAAAATATAGTTAAAGTAGCGACAGTAAAAGTAGTCATTGTGCAGATTGGTTCATTTCAGAATAATATATATGATATGTTTTATAATGATTGATCATGAAAGTGTTCTCAAAGCTGGTAAAGATGCAGCTAGTTTGAATGACTTTGTATACTGCAGGGTAGCTTGTGAATTTACTCCAGGTGGAACTAAAGTCTGATTTAAGAGTTGATTAGATTTCACATAATTAATCCTAATCTGTAAAGTAACTAAAGGGATTAAATAAATGTAGTGGAGAAAAAGTACACTTTTCACCTCTGAATTGTAGTAGAGTAGAAGTACAAAGTAGCAAAACATTGAAATACTCAAGTAAAGTACAAGAACCACAAAGTCGTACTCAAGTACACTACTCGAGTAAATGTACTTCGTTACTTTACACCTATGATTCAGACCAAGTCCAAATCTGTCTCAGTATATCAGATACTGCTAATCTCCTTTTGGTAAACTCACAGCCTGCCTAGAATCAAAGCACTGTATCCCAGTGTGAACGTTAGGGGTTTGCTGGTTGAATTAAAGTATTCTGCATTAAAGCCCGCGTTTTCCATGCCCTTTTAAAAAACAGATGCACTTTGGAGAAGTTAGCTTACTTTAACAGTATAACAGACTTCTGAATTGAGTTAGAGAGCGGGCGCCGGGCTCGGAAACAATGGTAAGAGAAGAGGAGCTCTTTGTTTAACGGCTCCAAACAACGCTTTCATTCACTCACACTCCCGCGAGGAGCTGCTCCGCCACTTGTAGCCCGGACACACCGGGAGCAACACACCGGGAGCCGCTCAGCGAGCCAGACCGTGGAGCCAGCCGGTTCCCTCAGACACTGGAAGTTACAAGCGGTTCATATCCTCACTGTGTTTGGCTTTCTCATGTTCTCTTGTTCAGCAGCAGACACAACAATCCTCCGGCTGCGCGCGTGCTCAACGACAAAGCCCGAGAGATTCACGTGAAGAACTTCCGGCAACAACCTTTAAAATTAAAGCCTCCACACAGTAGTGTAAATACCCGGGGTACAAAGCCAGTAAAGTGCGCATTTGTCCGTGCAACAATGTCTCCTGCAGTTTCATACATGTATTCAAATATCTTAAAATGTTACTTTACTGGACATTTCAAGGGCTTTAAGTTTAGAAAATGCACATCAGAATGTATTAATATTGTCCAAGTGACACTCTGAGGTGATACAAAAAAGATAAAAAATACATTTGTGGCAACAGGCCTTTTCCTTTTAATTTAATCTGAATTTGAAGAGTATTTAACTCAGATATGATAGTTTGAAGGGCTTTCATTTTAAAATTTCACATCAGATAGTCCTGACATTGCCTGAAAGACACAGGTGTTCTAACCTACTATCACTCTGCGGTGAACATATTCTGTGGCAACAGGTCTCTCTAAGTCTTTTTGGAAAATTACCTAAAAAGACATTTAATAAGACATTTTAAAGGGCTTTTTTCACATCAGAATGTGCTGATATGTGTCACTCTGAGGTGGTCTGTTTTCAATCTGAAGAGAAACCAGGACCAGGCAATAGGCTGTTTCCTTTAATAATACTCTGGAACTGCATTAAAAGACACTTTAAGGGTTTACATTTTAATTTTTAAAAGAAAATTCTGTTAGTCTCTCTACTCAAGGTGATCCACTGTCAATCTGAAGTGATATCAGTTTTAATTTATTTATGTATGTTTTCATTTAAATATATTCATTTTAGGTGTCTTTTCAAATTAATGTGAAATTACCATAGTCCATAGTTATATCCAAATCAAGATTTAACATAGAAACACTATTTTAATGCATCTTAAAAAACACAACTCAAACAATGTCAACCATTGATAATTATTGAATTTCATTACATTAATTATGACCAGAATAATTAGAGCATGTTGAATGTATTGCATAAAATGAAAGCTGCAGATTAGCAGAACATCACTATTTTCCTGAGGATTCTACTTTCAAAATAAGAACACATTACAAATACTGAATCAACTATAAGAGGTTATAAGCTTAAATGATTGTAATAAAACAATGCCATGTCAACAAATGAGAGTCAGTTTAAACAAAGTAACGTTGAATGTGAACCGTTTGATTTTAGACAATAATTTCCTGGCCCATTCAAAGCTCAGCTAATCAATGAAAACTTGTTAAAACGTTAAAACCGACAAATACATATGTATTTTAGTGATTGTTAACAAAGCTTTTATTTTGAAGGATTCTACCGGGATAGGAGCAGATGCTGCCGTGGACTTGGCTGCAGGGACTTCCAGCAGCGGGACTCTCCTCTCAGTGCCTGTCCTGGCGGCCCGCTGAGAGGCTGCTCTCAGACTGGCTCATGTCCTCGCTGGCCTTGATGAAGAAGGAGTGTCTCCGGTCTGGGACCCTGTCCTCCGCCTCCCTGAAGAGAAGGTTCCTGAAGAAGAGGAGGGTCGCTCCGGGGGCGCAGCAGGACGCGGACAGGGACTGCCAGCTGTGCAGGTGAGACGCTAAACTCTGCCAGAAAGTTAGAATTTACTGGAATAAAAACTAATCAACCTGATATTATATAGTGATGCATTTGTTGGTACCTATTATCACTCTTTTTGATAGTTTTTAAAAGGAAAGATTATCATAACAGGTCCCTACAGAAAGTACTCTATATTTCTCAATTCTCAATAATCCTGGGCTTTCATTGTTCTGAAGCACACATGATATGCAGTTCAGTTCAATTTAAATTAATAATTTATGAATCAATAAACTCTGGTTGACTTTCAAAAAAATATTAAATGAATCCACAATCCAAATATCACTATTCTGATTAGGTCAACTATCAAAATAACGTTTAATAATTTATTCCCTAAATAAAGCGGCAGAAATACGTAAAATAATGTGCAAAATAAAGAAAAACATTAGGCCCTCCGCAATCTAACCGATTTGTCTACAAACATTTCTCTCATCTATTTAAAGCCTGGCCAACCACAGTTTGAGCCTGATGCCACAAAAAGGTGCCCATTAACAAAACATGTACGCCTATACAATAAATTCTAGATTACATAAGTATCTTTACAGTTCTACATTTTATATTTCATAAATCATATATCTGTTAGATATTCTCATCATACGTTTAAAGCAAAAAGCCTTTTTTTTTAAACTAAATGTTTCCCTCTGAAGATATAATGTCTTTGACTTAAAAAATGAACCTGCCCATTTATGTGAGGGTTTGCCTGAACTGTCCACCTGTAGCCCAAAATGTATGACATCTGCAGTTGTGCAGCCTTTTCCATGAATTCACCAGTTGTATTCCTGTTTTCCCAGGTGCTCCATATTCTCCCGTTCAGGTGGTAGTCGCACTGTTCGCCGGATTTTGACAGCCTGTGTCCTCTCTTTCCTGGCCCTGCTTGGCTCTGTGTCCATGGACCTCAGCTCCAAGTTCGGCCTGCTGCACACAACGGAGGCTGCTTATGAAGAGCTCACTTCATGCAGGACAATAGCCATCCTGCAACTCGTCCGTAAGCTCCAAAAGACAAGAGGTTTATTCACCAAAGACATGGGCAATGAGACATTGGAGCCAAGTCTTTCCGAGGTAGTGTTTCCTATGTTGGATCATCTCTGTGGTGAAATGATGGATCACAGGAACGGCCGTGGGCTTCTTTGCAGTGTTGAGTTGGCTGAATTTTGCCAGGAGATAACGTGGAGTGTTCAAGGACTTCTAAATGCTTCCTTGGATACAAACGGCACAAGTGCAAATGGTACTTCTGTTTACTCCGTGGCCATTGGAAGACTTCTTGACATCTGGGGTACGGTAGAAGAAACTTTTGTCCAAGTCAAACAGGATTCTAACTGGGGAGATGTTCTGTCTGCAAGACTTTTGGTAAAATTCATAGAGCTCAACTACCAGTTGATGGACTTCCCCCACATAGCAACTTACCCTGACTTCCAGAACGAGTGGACTTATGTCCTAGGCTACCTTGGCTTTGCCAGGGTTATGACGGAACATCTTAACGACTGCTGGTTACAGAACATAAACTCAAGCCAGCGTGTAAAAACGAATGATATATTTGACACAAGTCGGTGGCAGATCTCTGGAGACGGATCAGAGCTTCTGTCCGGGTCTCACATCGGGATTCAGTCTCTGACAAACACTCAGCAGTGCTTGTTTGATCGTGCAGGGCCGGCTTTGAGGCTGGAGTCTCGATCCATGTCTTCAGGTCTCAGCATGAAGGTCTGCCTGCTGGCCATAGCCTGCCTCATCTACCCGGTGGTGCTGTTCTCATTCAAGCAGATGACCGAGTGGATTCAGAACTACGCCCAGAGCTTGAAGGAGAGGACGGAAGACCTGAAGCGCCAGAGGCAGCGGGCGGAGGACCTGCTGCACCAGATGCTGCCCAAGTCAGTCGCCAAGCAGCTCCGCCAGAATAAACATGTTGAAGCCGAGAGTTACGAAAAGGTTGGTGGAATCAGAAAGAGTGATTTAACTTCTGTTTCTCTCAACGTGGTGTAGAATGGTACAAGTGGACATTCACCACGAGGGTTATATGAGATGATTGAAAGTGCCCAAACAATGAAATGGACCATGGTGCTACTCGCTGGACTGTCATGGGTCTTGTCCTTCGGAAATAAATCAGCTATTTTGGAAAGGTTAAATTCTCCTAAACTATTTAACAAATCCAGTTGGATACATTTGAGATTACAGTTGAATATGCAATTTCAAATTTTCGATTTCTAGTGATTAGTTGTTGAAAAGACAATTCATGGGGATGAAATTGTTGTCTGGTTCATGTGAACAATAGACAAGAGCTTAGGGTGACAATGCTTTCTTAAATTCCAGACCAGTATCCCATGGTTGATAAGGAACAGATGTTTACTTGCAGGGTCTTTGGAAGAGGTCAGGTAGGCAGCCTGGGTTGGCAAAGATGACTCAATGCTGACTATGAAACAGGATTGGTTATTACTTTGATCCCAGAACATGCAGGGTAAATCTGGGCTGGGGCTGAGGGTGAATGAGGATGTCGCCCTTTGTCTTTATCTCACACTTTGGCCATGCACTTATCCAAAGCTGTATCGGGCAGTATTACTGAGCAGCACTGTGTTCCAAAGGTTTGAATTTAAGGCACTTGATTGGAGTCAAGGAATTGGCATTTTAGACATGAACTAATGACAAAAAGACTTGTTTTTCCTTTACAGTAATGACTAGAGACTTCACTTAAACTTGTCCTTTTGACTTGGAATGACACAACACAACACTAAGCCCTTGACAAACAATAAAAAATGTGTTGACAAAGAATCAACTTTTTGACAAAACATGTATACAGTATACTGCAGCCACCAATTACGTTACAGAAAACAGATGATACCCATCATTTGGATCAGACCGCCTGGTGGTGTGATTTTTACAAATAAGAGACAGTTCCCCTAATCTGCCAGCTGATTAAATTTAAGTTGCATTATTTGTGGTGAACAGTGCATAATATCTTGTTTAGGACATGATAAACAGTGTCGTTAGTACTTTACCTGGGAATTGTTGGTTTGGACTTGACTAAGGACTTCATAACTTAAAGGTCCCATGTCATGCTTTTCTGGTTATTACCCGTCCCCTTGTGTGTTATGTAGCTTTTTCTGCATGTAAACGGTCTGCAAAGTCACAAACCCTCAAAGTACACCCTGTAGCGAGTAAAACTCTAACACAGAAAAGACCTGTCTATGCTGCCCCAGAACGCCTCGTTGGAGATTTCTCTTTGTCCATTGTTTACTTCTTGGGTATAGTGACCTATTTCGGGTATAGTGACGTAACGTGACCAATCTGCGGAGCCGTAACGTAACATCCGCGGAGCCGTTACGTTTGGACCAATCCGCGGACTTCCTCACACACACACACTCGGCGGGACGTTGCGAGGCTGGCTGCTGCGAGGAGCGGGACACTGTGAGCTGGCTCACTGGTGTGGGGTCGGCGAGACAGCGAGACACCGCGGAACTCAGCCTGGGCACACACACAAACTCCCAGCCAGGCTGCGGGTGTGTGTGTGTTTCGGGCTGTGTCTCGCTGTCTCGCAGACGGCCACTGGGCTCACAGGGAGGGGGGGGCAGGAGCTCCAACAAGCCGTTTAGGACAGAAGCGGCTTTCACACCAGCGCTTTTCCCTTTCTAGCTCCGAGCTAGAGCTTTTCTGGTTCAGCTCCGGTTTCCCTTTTCAGCTCCCGCTCTGTTCACACCGCCCAGCTGCCGCTGCTGCGTCATGACGTCACCGTTTACATCGCTGATTTTCTCCCCAACGGAGCTCACAACAACAACAACGGGGGGGGGACTGCGTCGGGTCGATGATCGTGTTGCTTTTAATCATACGAAGCCAGATTAAATTAAATAACGACTTCTCCAACCTTATACTTTTCTCCAGAGTGCCGTGGTTCATTGTTTATTAATGTGTTTCAGCGGCATTTAGCGACCGCTGCAGTGCTGGCTGCTCTTCCACGGGAGTTTATTCTCCCGTTAGCTCCGGGTTAGCTCACACGGCTCTAAAGTATTCACTGTCTGACTGTCACACAAGCAGCTGATACATATCCCCAGTTCCCCTTAAGTGAATGTGTGTCAGTCTGAATTGACGCTGTTTGGCATCACAACGCTGTTATGAAAGTTTCTCTGGTATAACATGGGTGATGTTAGCATAGCAACCGAAGCTAAACTGACTACTTGCTAAGCCGTTTTCTACAGGCACATTTTACCGGCGTATTTTTCATTATGATTCTACTTGTGATAGTCGGACATGACAACCTGTGCAGCCCATGTATTGATTCCATCCGATAGCTGCTATAATAACAAACAAAACGTCTGCCTGCTCTCCACAATGATCAATAACAGCGAACGGATGGTCAAAGTAAGGTACAAATAAACAGAATCACACGAAGCCTGGTTAGTGTTGCCTGACTTTATAAAGTGTGTTTTTTTTTTATAAGTGTGTGGTTGCCTTCTAGTCACTTTGCTCAGGGCTACTGCTTGTAGGCAGGCATGACGAGACTCTTCAGTCGACCCATGTTCAGGGGAGGTGGTTTTAGTTTCCTGCACGCCTCAACGTAAGAGAGACGTAAGCGACGCCGCCTCTAGCTCCGAAGCTCTTGCCTCTAGACCAGGGGTAACCAACAGGTCGATCGCGATCGACTGGTCGATCTTCAAAGCCTTCACTGTCGATCCCTAGCATTTAAAAAAAAAAAAATAATAATATTTTCCAAAAAAAAATTATTTTCCAAAAAAAAAGAAAATGTTCATGCTCTGGTTGGTTGGTTGTTTAAACAAACTTTTTAGACCTAGCTCTGGTTTGTTGAATCACGCACAGGTCATTTTACAAACTCCAATTGGTTATTAGATATGTTGACGTCTATGAATTGCTGCATGCAATTGTGGGTGGGGTTAAAAAAAATCGTATTTTAACGGTCATCTTGAGGAGTAACTTAAACTGTACCAAGTTCTGCTAATCTTTAACCAACATCGATATGGCTGAGGGTCCGGCGAAAAAGAAATCAAAAACTTTTTATTTCCACCCGGAATGGGAGCATGAATTTCTTTTCACATCAGCGAAAGAGAAGACTATATGCCTCATATGCCAACAAGCGGTAGCCTTGGCGAAACGGGGCAACCTGGAGCGCCATCATGCGAGCACCCATGGTAAATAAATTCAAAGACTCATATCCACTCAACAGCGCATTAAGAACCAAAATAATTGATGAACTGAAAAGAGGACTAAAAGCACAGCAGTCGCTTTTCATCGCGCCTACAGCAAAGAGCAATGCAGCTACAGAAACGTCCCTCCGGATTAGCCATATTTTGGCTCAGCACAAAAAACCATTTACGGATGGTGAGATGATTAAAGAAGCAATGAGCGCCACAGCTGACGTCTTGTTTGCGGATTTCAAAAACAAAGAGGACATAAAAGCAAGGATAAAAAGTGTACCACTTGGTGCACCTACTGTAGCCAGAAGAGTCGAGTCATTGTCCGAAGATGTATCCCAGCAAGTATTAAAAGACTTGTCTCTCTCGGAATACTTTTCAGTTCAATTTGACGAGTCTACCGATGCCACAGACACAGCCCAGCTAGGTGTGTTTGTCCGAATGGTTTTCACGGATTTTACTGTCAAGGAGGCCTTTCTTGCCCTTATCCCATTGAAAGAAAGAACCAGGGGTGAGGATGTGTACAAGGCATTCAAGGACTATGTTCGTGAGTACAAGATTCCCATTCATAAAATAGTGTCCTTCACAACCGATGGGGCACCAGCGATGCTCGGTGTTCGTTCAGGATTTGTTGCGCTGTGCAGAAAAGACCCAGACTTTCCACCATTTGTAAACTATCACTGTGTGATACATCAACAGGCATTGGCAGCTAAAGCAATTGACATGTCACATGTAATGAATGTTGTTGTTAAGATTGTCAACTCAATTCGCGCAAAAGCACCGGCTATTTAAGTCTTTATTGGACGAGCTCGACTCTGTGTATGGAGATTTGATCCTTCACGCAGATGTAAGGTGGCTCAGTCGGGGCAAGGTGCTCCAGCGTTTTCTGTATTTGCTGCCAGAGATCATCAGTTTTCTGAAGTCGAGGAACGAGGAGTATGAGCAGCTGTCCGACGATACTTGGTTATTGGACTTGGGGTTCCTTACCGATCTGACTGCAAAACTCAATGACCTTAACCGAGAATTGCAAGGGAAAGACCGAGAGCTTGGTCACATGATTAGCGCAGTGGAGGCATTCAAAGTGAAGCTCAGTTTGTGGACCACTCAGTTAAGACATGCAAGGCTGACACACTTCCCAAATCTTGAAAAGGTGTCACAAAACCTCACAGACAAAACTGCTTTCCATCCTGAACAATTCTGCGCCCATTTGAACAAACTGACATCAGAATTTGGTGCTCGATTTGTGGAGCTACAAGACATGGGGCAAGTAGTTGGTTTTGTATCAAACCCTTTCCTCAGCGTTGACATTGAACAGCTGTCAGCTAAAATGCAGGAGGTGTTTACATTACCTATGGGTGTTGACATGGAGATCATTGAAATGCAAAGCGACATTGAATTGAAGGCCAGAGCAAGAGATCAGGACTTTTGGTCACTCGTGAGTAGAGAGAGGTATCCACTGATTGTGTCATGTGCGCTTAAACTGAAGGCCTACTTTGGCTCCACATACTTATGTGAAACGGCCTTTTCACAAATGAAAATAATTAAATCCAAGTATAGAACTCGTATGACTGACGCACATCTTACTGACTGCCTCCGGCTGGCAATCACTAACTATCAGCCAGATTTCAAAAGGCTTACAGATAATGTGCAGTCACAGCAGTCTCATTAAAGGCAGGCTGATAGAGCAACTTGAGCATTGAAAATATATTGTGCATTGAACAGAGAAACTTAATATGGATTACATTGAACTGTAGGCTAATATCTGTACATGTGAATATTACTAATTGAACTGAGAAACTAAATATAGTGCATTGAACAGATACTGTAAATATTAATAGTTTGTATTGAACAGATATGCCTACCGTAAATATGAATATTGTACATTGCACAGATAACTGTGCATAACTGTGTCTTTCTTTGTGTGCATCTTTACACGTACATTGAGCCTGTTGTAACATAAATTGATTGCAAAAATAAATATGACGATGAATCGTCTTACTCCTAAGTGGGTTTTTTGGAAGATATCGGATTGGTAGATCTCGGTTTACATTTTGGAATAAAAAGTGATCTTGGGCTTGAAAAGGTTGGTTACCACTGCTCTAGAGTGGCCACCCCCTCTAGACCGACCATTTTCTGGAGCTGGAAGTGAACCGCATTCCGGAGCTATGACGCGGCGCCGCTGCGGTGTGAACAGGAAAAACCGGCGCTTTTCCAGCTCCAGCTCCGAGCAGGAGCTGGAGCTGGAAAAGCGCCGGTGTGAAAGGGGCATTAGAGTGAGTGAATACACATACTATACGGAGATGCTGTATGAGAAACCAATGTGAGTTTGGAAAATTGCACAATATAAATCTATTTGAGTATATCTCAACAATGGAATTATGATCAGTAGAAATGGCCATGACATGGGACCTGATTTGTCTTTGAATTTGTGTTTAATTTGGAACTTGACTTTGACATGTTGCTCTCTACTTGGGACTTTTATTTCTGTATTTCATATCCAAGACTTAAACCTACTTTTATGTTGCGATAAACAATACGATATTACTTTAATGGTCAGATCAAGTCTGAGTTTTGACTTGCGTCACAGCAGCTCCATTTGCAACATTAACAAGGGCAGATATTAAGACACAATACAAGAAAAACAAACACTTACTGAGAGAAACATGCTCAAAGACCCTTGAGGGTGCATTTGACCTGGGATTCAGCTCTGTATTTACTGTCAGGCTTGACTGATGCACAAAGGAGAGCTTCAGTCTGACCTTATTAAAACGAAGGACCCTGTATCTCCGATTAGATGGTAGCAGTTCATATTCACTGTTTAGAACATGGTTTGGGTCGGAGACGATGTTGTTGGACAGCCTCACTACAGGTTATTATGGTATGCTGATTCATAAAGACTCTGACAGGGTTGACCAACAATCTTTGAGCAGATTTTCAGCTGTTGGAGCAGTTTTGATTTTAAAGCAGTTGATAGACATAAAGACGTAAAGAACAACATTAGAATGTGTCTACTCGCCCCAAAAGACCTGAGGTGGCGGAGAAAATAAATTCTTTGTTTTGTCCTTTTGCACAGATAATCAATCTGGTCTTTCCATGACAGCAGATGGTCAATCATTACACCCAAGTATTTGTATGAAAGTATCTGCTTGACTTTCTCAGTATGGATTACAATGGAACCTTGATATGGAACATCCGTCCCAACACGATTTTTAAAAGACAACTGCTCAATGTATTCATGTTACCTTCAATAGCCATGGAACAAGGCTCAACAAAAGCATATATAGACAAACCTTAAAGGCAGAATGACTGGGACTTGTGGGTTTGTCAACGATGACCAACAAACTATTTTTACTATTTTTAATTTTAACAGTAACAGTCTTTAGAAGACGGATAACACAAAAACCTTTTCCCTTCATACTCCTCACCATCTACTTCTAACATTCAACCAAACACAGTCAGAGGTTGTAATGATGCGGGTGGAGCTGCAGGAGGCTACCTCTGGAAGATCTGCACTCGTGATAAATGAAGGTGTGTGTTTGCTGCCTTTGTTGCTATTGTTGGCGTAATTACCTATAATTGCCCTGTTCCATATTCATCAGGAGATAAAACAAGTTATTCGGGGGAGAATTGCGTCTGGCTTATTGAAGGGTTTTGAAGCAGCTGGGGCTGCATGGGAGGGGTGGGTAGGGTGTGTGTGTGTGTGTGTGGGGGGGGGGGGGGGGGGGGTGCTGTTAATACAGTACAGGACCATAAGCTCATCTTTAACCGGAAATGGAAAGAAAATATAAGCCTGATGGGTTCTTCTTCTTCTTTTTCCGCTACACAGAAAACTATAGCATGATGGCTGATCCCTGAAAAGGCTCTAACACGTGTCAATCGGGGGGGGGGGACGCCTATTATTGTTGAAGGGTCTGTATGGTTAGGACAAAGTGAGGCTGAAACTCAATAAGGACATTTGTGTATGATTCATTCCGAACATAACATTTCATTTGACTGTTTCTTTAAGGATTTTTTGAATGCAGAGCTTTCACTTATAATGGTATATTTTTCCAATGCTGTATTATCACTTTTACATATCTAACAACAGTGTTACCTCCATGACAGAGAAAGATGTTGATTCAACTTTGTATTTGTAGCATGTGGTTTTGGTTTTACTGAGAGGTGTTTGTGTTATAAAGCCTATGATTTATTGCAGGACTGTTGCGGTAGACTATATTATTTGTATCGCAGGCTGTTCAAATATATACTGTTCTGTCCAGCAGACTGATGGAGTCACCTCTCTCCATTTTGGTCCAGGTGACTATTTTTTTCTCGGACATCGTGGGCTTCACCTCCATCTCTGCGTCCTGCGCTCCTCTGCAGGTGGTGGAGATGCTCAACAACCTCTACATGTGCTTCGACACGCGCATCGACTCCTACAACGTCTACAAGGTACAATGAAATGTTGTTGGCCTTATGATGCTTTTATTGGGTTTTCCCATTCCTGTAGTGTGATCTACAGGTTTTTAGGGTTAGGGTTAGAAAGAGGAAAATCCCTGTTTAAAAAAAACAAACCTGTGTATCTGTGGACTTGTGCAACTGATATCTGACATTTGTCTCCACTCAGACAACAATACAAACCCATTCTACCACTTACCGGACCAACTTGCTGCGCTGTTTATGTTCTTTGCTTTAAATGTTTAAACTGGAAGCACATGAAAGCTAGTATAAACATCATAACGTACAGGTGGAGACCATTGGGGATGCGTACATGGTGGTGAGCGGTCTGCCGGAGAGGAACGGGGACAGACACGCTGATGAGATCGCCAAGATGGCGCTGGACCTGGTGGCCGCCGTCAGGCAGGTCTCCATCCCTCACATGCCCAACGAGAGGCTGCAGCTGAGAGCCGGCATCCACACAGGTGAGGGAGCTCTGAGGAGAACTGTCAGAACCACAGGGTCGTTTCTGATCCGCCTTGTGGGGAGTGCACCAGGTCCCTTAGGGCATTACAATTACAAGGTTTCCATCAGTTAGGGTTGAGCGTCCTGCACAGAGTGAAGCAGCTGTCTCCTGGCTCTGCAGGTCCCTGCGTGGCGGGGATCGTGGGCTACAAGATGCCCAGATACTGTCTGTTTGGAGATACCGTCAACACGGCGTCCAGGATGGAGTCCACCAGCCTGCGTACGTGTCCCTTCACACACAGAACACAAACACACACGTCTGAAACACAGTGGTCTCACAAAACAGTTGTTCTGTGAACTTCAAGTCCTGCTGGAGCTTCACCTCTGATGGTTATTTTAGTGCTGGCATTCAAAAAAGATCAGACAACAGTACATTTCTACAATTGTACTACACAAGTCACTAGATATCAGATTTTTGTAAAATAGTGATAGTGCTGGCAAACATGGCTTGTTTGACTTTGGCCACACATCAGTTGTGTTTCAAAGTGTGTGTTGTTGTTTGTGTGTCAGCTCAGAAAATCCACGCCAGCTCAGAAACCTACCTGGCTCTGATCAAAGACAACGCGTACGAGCTGCAGCTGAGAGGAGAGATCGAGGTGAAGGTAAAAGATCCCAGCCGTGGTTAAATGGTCAAAGAGATTAACTTGATTTCTAATTATCAGGGTCATTTTTTCCATTCCATATATGTCATTTAACAGAGTCTTCCATTCTGAAAACGCTATTATCTTTTACGAGTTGCTGTATTTTATAATTGCTATTCTTTTTACAAGGAATGGGGAATAATCTTTCTTTTTGATTTCCTCTGATGTTTCTCCAAATAATATGTTTTATTTAGAGAAATACCTAAACTTGTTGATATTTCTCTTAAAGCGTTTTCCCTAAGAGTTCTCACTAACAGACAAATGGGCAGCCACATTTGAGTTGTGTCCCTCCTCCTGCAGGGTAAAGGCAAGATGAACACCTACTGGCTGGTGGGCCATAAGAACTACAGCGTGCAGAACGACAGTCTGGTGTGCCACTGGAACCCCGGCATGGCCCGCAAGAAGAAGGCGGCGGCCGGCAGCCACGCCTCTGTGGGCGACGTGAGTTTACCCTGAGGGGGGGGGTCTGATCCCTCCAGTATTTGACACATATGGCCTTTGTTACTTTTCTGTTCTTCAGTTATACTCTGTTTGCTCAGTCGGATGTAAAATAGCTAGTCTTTCTCAGCACAACTATATTGCAACACACCTATTGCTAAAATAAGCTAGTTTGAACAATTTAGACGCAGAATACATTCGTCATAGATCAAATCATCTTTAACCTACTTTTCCTCAGCCTCTCGGCTGACTAGCTCCGCCCAGTGACACTCTGCAGGACTTTGTCTGTCTTACTCTTTTTAATTTACCAGCAGCAATATGTTTATTAGTCCAGCTAATGGAAACTTGTAGAACATTGATGTTATCTTGTCATTAACCTCCCTCTGTGCCAGTCCTCAGTGACGGTGCAGAGCCTCGGTGCCACCACCCCCGTCTCCATCCCCCCCTCAGTGTTGGAGCAGCCCCCCCCCAGCCCTGAGCGTGGCGGCTCAGATGGAGCCTGACGGAGGAAGCAGCGGGACCCTGGGCTCCATGATGGGGGGGCTGCAGAGCCCCCTGCCCAGCCAGCGCCGGGCAGAGCTCTGCTGAGTCAGAAAGACCCTCCTGATCTCAAAGCTGACACTTTAGTGTTTGGGATGAGTAGTGATGATGTAAAGCATGTGTGTGTTATGATGCTTTATTGGAATGTGTGGACTGAACATGTGTACCACAAACTGTCCAATAAAGCTACTACAAACATCCTGCAGTTAGTTACTGTCATTTGTAGGTGTTATGTCATTTACAATAACTATTTGTATTTGGCTAGTTTAATGTTTACACATTAGCAGTAGTGCTACGTTGAGTTAAGTTATACTGTTTAATTCATTTTAATTGTCTGTTTGTGTATTTCTTATGTATTCTTTCACTTATTCAGCGGTTGGAGTAATTCATTATATTTTAAACATCAATTAATGGCTCTTTGATTTTACTTTTGTTTTCCTTTGAACGTACACAAGCAATGTTGCAATGTCTGTTTGCTAACATGGTGCAGCCCTAATGTGTGCATTAGCAGGATTGTAGCAGTGAAAGCATTGCTCTGTTCAATTCAATGTGAATAAAATAAAAATGTCTTGTCACTTACACCAGTGAATAATCATGATAAATAATGGTGCTCTCAATATTATCAAAAATTATCGTGATGATCATTTTTGGCAGGATAATGTGTACATTTCTTTAGCAAGATTGCAAGGAAAGGTCATTTTGAAAAGTAATGGAAAGGGTTTGATATCTGAAAAGGTGTGTGTATATTGCAATATTGTAAGATGTAAATGAATTGAATGTAACTATTAAAAAGACTGTTCTTTTCATATAACCCTGACCTCCCATCATCTACACGTTTCTAAGGAGGACACGACACAGTAAGTGCAGAGCAATTCATTGTCAAATAGCAGAAAACAATACAACAGCCACGCGCTAAAAAGTGGTTTAAATAATGTTCACCCAGCTTCCCATAATCCCTCACTTCAGCCTCTCAGATCACATGACATGAGCAGAGCATACACACATTGGCGCATCACTTGTAGAAAAACACACACACACCAATCCAACATTATTTTACCGATCACATCCTCACCCACACACACACACACAGCGTGACATCATCAGTCATCCCATGTGCTCTATTGCTTTAAGAGGACCCATCTGCTGCTGTGAGACATGCAGAGCAGGTACAAATAGTGACCCCCCCCCCACCGCCATAGAAAAAAGCCCATTGCATGCTTTTCTAAAATGCGCTTCCATGTGCTTTGTCTACACACTATCTGAATACATGTGTCATAACAGACTAAAAGGAAACACCTCAGACTAAACTGTGAGATATGGAAGTCCATTCCTGCCAGTGAAAGTCCTGATCATAAAACACCAACTCTTAAAGATCTATTTTAAAAGAGATACTTTCAGTCATTTTAATAAAACGGTAAATCTCTAAATATGGCGATGAAACTCAATATTTGTTAACTTATGACTACACTCAAAAAAAGTTGAACTTAATTAAAGTAATTAAATAAGTAATTGTATTAGGTTAGTTGGATATTAGGTTGATATTTTTTCTTTCAACCTAATATTATTGCTTTCAACTAACATCATACAATTATGTCTAATCTGTTGACAAAATGAATTACGTCAACCTCTAAATGTTTTGTGTATAGACATATTTATAAATGTTACTATAGTCAATGGTTTTACATACAATTTGACTTAAGTAACCTCTTAATAAATCTAAATTCTGAGTCAAGATTAAGATTAAAATAAATATTTGAAGGCAAATTTAGCAACCTATATTAACTTATATTTATAAAAAGGCATGTCATAATTTTGACTGAATCTAAAATTAAGATTTTTAAGTCAATAAAAGTAAAAAACAAATGTTATCCTCGCTAATTCTCTTTTTTGTTGAAAGTGTTTTTTGTTAACATTCTTGAGTCTCATTTCTGGGTGGTAATGGGCTTCCATATCTCTACCTCATGTGCCAGGACACTTATAAAAAAGAAAAAGAAATATTGTATGGTCCAGGCTACATTCACACAAACAGCATTGTGGAATTATTGTGGCAAAAAAAAACATATTTTGTCCATAAAACTTCATTTACATTCATTTGAAATGACAGCATTTTGGATATTGTGTTCACTGGAAGATGTTTAGCCCTGTGCTTCTATTTAAAAAGTCCCTGGCCGGCTGCAGCGACTCGGCTGTACACGTGAGCATCATTCTGTATTCTGAGTCACACAGCTGCTAAGTCTACAAGAGTTGCATTCGTGTCAGTGTGCGTGGGATGTTTTGTTTCATGATGACGGAGGCTTCATGGCGTTTCAACAGTAAAACGGTGACATCACTCCTCTGTAAAACTCATGTGTGGACTTCTCCAGTCCAACACACACACATTAATGATCTGTAGGTTCATTAAAGCACTGGAGCTGGATCAAACATCTCGTAAGGTGCTAAAGGTATTCAACATAAGCGGTGAACATGTAACAAGACTCTTGTGTTTGTTCCACAAAATGCATCACTCATATATTCACACATTTCAACGAGCAAAATATGCACCTAAAAAAAGTAAAAATACATTTCTAAGAAGAAGTTAGGTGATGGAGAGATGAAGCAGACACATCATTCAGCTCAGTCTTTGGTTAGGTGAGAAGCCAGCAGCACTTTAGAGAAGCCTCAGAAACATTTGGACAGGATCCCTGAAGAGCACCTGATTCACTTCAAGTGGCGAAGAGTCAACAGAAAAAGGGCCAAGGGGAGAGGGAGTCCTGGTTGGGAAGCCCTTGGTAGGTCAAACTGCTGGTTTATAGAGGGAATGTGATGGATGCTGGTGACGGCAGGGAGAACATCCACTGCATCCACTGGTGGAGAGAATCGCTGTACGGCAGTTCAGTCTTCACGCGTGAGCAGGAAGCGGAAGGTACCCTCGGAAGCATCGGAGAAAGTGAAGACCTGCGGAAAGGAAGGCGGCGGCTCCTGCAAAGCAGCGGATGAAACGGAGCCCCTTTATTATTCGCAGAGTGCTGGGACTCCTCAGTCAGGTAACAGAAAACAGAGTTCTCCCTCCAGGGCTGAAGCTCCTCTCACAGCAGAGGGGGGGCGACTCTTTCAGGTTCCGTGGTGGTGTGGGTCTGCAGCCTGCTGGAGGCCTTCATCTCTTCCCTGACTTCATGTAGGACGGGATAGCCCCTCGGGCGGTCAGGCCTTCGAAGCGTTTGTAGGTGTAGTTGATGAAGACCCAGTCCTTGTTCTTCAGGTCGGCCTCCGTCTGGTTGGACACCGGAGCGACTGAGGGGGGGGGGGGGGGGGGGGAGAAGATGCTTTAACTTATTGCAGACGTCACAACAGAGGAGCAGACTGTGCAACAGAAAGAGCAGCGTACCTGTTGGGGTGAGGATATCTGAATCAGGGAACTCATCAAAGTTGGAGGTGTCGTCGATGCTTTTGATCTCGATGGGGATGGCAGCAGGTCTCTCTCTGAAGAGGAGGAAGTGATGTGAGAAAGATGAGTGGGACAATCACCAAAGAGAGATCATGCATGTGAGAAGTGAGGGAGCTGCGTGAGGATCATGTTTGTCTGGAAATGGTTAACCAGGTTCCCAAAACAGCTGATTTGGCTGGGTGGCACTTCCTATTGTTATTTCCATCAACAAGTCACTTGAGATAAAGCTGCTATTTCTGGCAAGCAGTTCAGTTTAAACAAGCAACACGAAAAACTCTAATCATTTTGAATCAATATTTAGTATGTAGCCGTGTCATTGAAGGGTCCTGCTCACCCTGTCGTGTTATTTTCTAATGAATGACTGCTAGCTACACTTTATCCTTCACTTGATTGTCCCGAATAATGCAAAATGTTCTGGAGCTGAGTGATGAGCACACTCCAAGGTACACCAAAGAGACAGTCTTCTGAAAACCCTGAGCTTACCAACTGAACCAGAAGGTATCAAGTCAAACGTTTGTTCCTGATTAATAAATTGAGCACATTCCACAAAAGTTGAAAATAAAAGCACCCTGATAGAACGGCAGTCTGCCCCCCTTCGATTTTTGTACACTGAATTATATTTTTATTATCATTATATTTATACAACATTGTACATTTAGAAAAACTGGTATCAAGATAAATGTATTGTTTGCAATAATGCCCACCACTACATGATCAAAAGTAGTGGTTTAAATACATGTTGTTGCACTTTGAGAACCTACTGAAGTCAGACTCTGTACAGAGACACAACTCCAAGCTACAAAATCTCTAAGATAAAGAACATATTTGAAATGTCTCCTTGTGGTAACTGTCCTTGACCATGTAAAAGCCCCCACCTGATATGGTCGTAGTCCACCCCCTCAAAGAAGGGGTTGGACTTGATGTCCTCCACCCCCACAGCACCGATCCTGTGCTCCTCCTCACAGCAGAACCTGAGAACAACACACGTCACATTAATATCACACAACTCAGAGCAAACCTTTCAGGTGCCCTTCGACATGTTGAAGAAATAAAACGCCCTCATTGTCATTATACAATACTAATAGAGATACTGATGTGTTATTAATGCACAGTGAGAGAGAGATGAACACAGGAGTTCTTGCCTGAGGATCAGATCTTTGGCCTTCTCTGATATAGGCACTTCTGGAGGAAAAGTTAGCGTCTCTCTCCAGTTCATCACTTTCCTGTACGTCTCCTGAGGCGTCTCTGAGCAGAAGGGGGGGTAACCTGCACACAGGGAGGACAGCAGAATCACCAACTGTCCCTTTCAACCACATCAGCCTGAGGGTAAACAAGCTCGAGACAGCCTTACCTATCAACATCTCATACATGATGACACCCAGGCTCCACCAATCACAGAGCTTGTTGTATCCATTCTGCATGAAGACCTCCGGGGCGATGTAGTCGGGGGTTCCCACTGTGGAGAACGCCTACGAAAGGGACGGGAAACAACAGTTAGACTATTAAAAGCTGTTTGCTTTGAGCTAAAAGATGAAGATAAAGTCATTTATTCAATCTGACCCTAACTTCAAAAAGGGTCCGTTTGATTCATTTGGGGGTTTTCCCTCTCCTGTAGTTCTATAGGTTTTAGTGCATGTAAATGGTCTGCAAAGGATAACATCCCTGTGACACTCGCACTTCTATTGGCTAGCGCTCCAACACATTGTACGTGATAGGTTAAGGGGTAGGACATCATCTAAGCGGTTGACCAATCACAACAGAGCCGGCCAGCTAA